CAGAAGCCTTTCTCCACTTAGAAAATAGTCTAAGCTTCTATTCTAACCAACGAGCATAACCTCTCACTTTCCCATATTGTATTCAATCTGCCACTTCTTTGTCTAGTCTCCGAGCATGTCCAAGTCCTTCTGCAGCCTCCCTGCTTCCTTAAAGCTTCCTGTCCCTCCAGCTTCTGCAAACTTTGCAACATGTCCTCTGTTCCTTTGTCCAGTTCGTTCATGTACAATGTAAATAGTTGTGGCTTCAACATTGACCTCTGCAGAACTCCACTAGTCACTGGCTGCCATCCTGTAAAAATCCCTTTATCCCTACTCCCTCCCTTCTGCCAGTCAGCCAATCCTCTATCCATGACAATATCTCTGCCAAACCTCCATGCATGCCAATACCTTGCTCGTAATGCCATGGGCTCTTATTTAGCAGTCTCCTGTGTGGCACCTCATCAAAGGCCTTCATAAATCCAAATCAATTGCATCCTCTGGCTCTTCTTTGTCCGACTTGCTCAATAGCTTCTCAAAGAAGTCACATACCTGACTTTAATGAAACTGTGCTGACTTAGCCCTGTTTAACCATGCACTTCCAAGTGTTCTGCAATCTTATCCTTAATAATGGACTCTAAAATCATACCAATGACTAAGGTCAGGCTAAACAGCCAATAATTTCCTGTTTTCTGCCTCCCTTCTTAAATGGATGTTAATCATTTTCCAATCCTGTGGGATCCTCCCTGACTCCAGTGTTTCCTGGAAGATCACCACCAATGCTTCCAAAATCTCCTTAGCTGTCTCCTTTGGAACTCTAGGGTGTAGTCCATTTGGTCCAGGTGGTTTTTCCACGTTCACACATTTCAGCTTTCCCAGCACCTTCTCTTTATAGTGATGGCCACTACATTCACCCCTGCCCCAACTCTACTAGATACTCTGCTAGTATCTTCCACTCTGAAGACTGATGAAAAGTACTTAAATCCTAGCTGTCACAGTTTGTTCACTCACTTAATCCATCAAGGTTTCTTTGTAACTTTATGCCGCTGTTACTTAGCATGCTAATTTTTGCATCACTGCCAGATCTTGAATAAATATATAATCAATTTAAGGGCGGCACAGTGGTTAGCACTGCTGCCTCACAGCGCCAGGGACCCGGGTTCAATTCCACCCTCAGGCGACTGTCTGTGTGGAGTTTGCACATTCTCCCAGTGTCTGCGTGGGTTTCCTCCAGGTACTCCTGTTTCCTCCCACAGTCCAAAGATGTGCAGGTTAGGTGGATTGGCTAAGCTAAATTGCCTGTAGTGTTCAGGGATCTGTAGATTAGGTGGGTTATAGGGGGATGGGTCTGGGTGGGATGCTCCAAGGGTCTGTGTGGACTTTTTGGGCTGAAGGGCCTGTTTCCACACTGTAGGGATTCTAATATATATATAATATAATAACACTTGTCAGATTGAAATGCCATTGAACCCTGTTGCAAACATGGGAGACATATAAGAAACTCGGAGTGAGAAAAGGTCACAGGTGACTTTATCATTCTGTAAGCTGTAGCAGTTGTATCTCCGTCTCTAATTTTGTACGAAAGAGCCATCCCTGTTACTAGCCTTTCTTTCCAAGTAACGTATCCCATTTATTAGCATGTTTGGTTTTCACAGTGCATGCCAACCACCAGTTTTTCAAGTTGAGTTGCTGAATTTCAACCTGTGCCAGTTTTTCAATGTTTCATTTCAAAAATCTGTCATCTTCACTGAATTTGGCATTAATATTAACCAATATAATGAATTGAAGGAAAGGTGAAGGACTTTAGAATCAAATGCTACTTTTGCAACTGTTAGTTGTGCCCAAACTTGTGGCTATATTTTTCTAAGATGTGTCTGATGGCTTCTGAGTTATAATTTATCTGATTTTATATATGCTTAGGTGCTACAAAACAAACTGCTAAAACTTCTGCTCTTAAAATCATTTTCATTAGTCTGCAGATCAACCTTTTGGATCATACATAGCTGTTGTCTTATGCATAGGTTTATTTTCTTAATGACTAGTTGCAGCTGCTTTTCTGAGATAAGGAGGATGATCTCTGGTATGAATACATTAACTTGCTTTATCTGAGCTGTACTGTACCTGCATTTGTAGAATTACGAAGATTGGGAAACATAATAGGGGGAGGGATTGGACCAGTGATTATTTTCTATTCAATTTAAATAAACACTGGATGATCCATTTTTAGGACCTTACGTCTAAATAGCATTTCCTTTTTTTTAATTTGTCCTTGAAAATGAATGACTCTGGCAAGAAACTTATTGCTCGTTCCTGGTTACTCTGAGCTATGCCACTTATTAAAGTATTGCACTGTGTGAGATGGTGCTATTTTGTGTAATGCAGATCTTTTTGTTTCCCTGTGCCTTTTCCGAAAATCACATTATTCTGCATTTCAATTTATTTTAAATGTTATGTGTTTAATACTTTTTATTTCGATAAGAGCAAATGCAATTTTTTTAATAGTCACAGAAGAGTAACATAGGCTAGAAACGTAGAAATTAATGACACAGTTGATGGCTATTTGGCCATTTAGTCCTAATCTACTGAGCATTTCTCATAAACTCATAAATGTGTATGTTTCAGTTATCTATCAGTTCATGTTCCTTTAATGATGAAATCCATTTCCAACATTCTCACAGAATGCGACATTCAGAGTACTATATCCCAAGAGCTGCGAGGTGGCCACATTCACTTCTACCCAGTGAGAGTTTATTACTGGGTTTTTACTTGGTCACTCAAGGTAGTTCAGGAGTTGGTGAAGGCTCAAAGGACTGAGGTGGAGACAGAGACAGAGTGAACTCCACATTAGGAGTTCAGTCTTTTTAACGAAACTGAGAGTTTTATGTCGTGAGAACACAGGGAAGTCCTACAGCAGTTGAATAGCTCTGTTCACCAAGACTTCAAGGAAATGCTGGGAACTAGAAGAAGCCACCTGCAGCTAATAGTGCAGTATAACTGAGAATTGTGCTTGAAAATCCCATAATCAGTGTTTGCCGGATGAAATTGAGTGACAATTGAGCTCAGAAAAATCCAGGAGTTTTACCTGCTTGTTGAAGATTGCTGTTTGTGAAAAATTGGAGTTGTTGTCCCTGTGTGAGAGTATAGTTTCCAAAGGATAGACCCAGAAAAGGAAGGTGATTGGCTAGGGTGGGAGCAGTGGTTCAAGTGTCAAGGAGAGAATGACTCTTGAGAGGAGGTTTTGTGGCCACATTGGCAATAGTGGAACCTTGTGATTTCTTGTGAAATTTGATGACCCTCTGTATCATTTAACATCTTAGGCGATCGCTGAGAAATCTGAGAGATCTGCCTTGAATACATTTGCCATTTAACCAGTGCTGTGGACAGTCAATCAACATATTATCCATACTTACCACATGTTAATTTTGCATGTTAGAACCAAGATGTACATTAATTGTTGATTTTATGTTGTATGGTAAAGTTTGTTGTTCGATCATCAAAATCATGGAATCTTGTGCCTTTATTCTTAGTAAGTACCCTGGTCCTCTCATTTTACCTACTCTAAAATTAAAGGTTACTGGTCTCCACACAGATCATAACATAAATTTGGTAGCTTTGTCTGGAATTGTAACACTTTACAAGGCAAATTGAATTCTGCTCTGTTTGGTTGTTGTATTGTTATGTAGGCTTCTGTGTTTGAAAACAATGGCCCAGCTCTTCACATCTCTGAATAGTCTGAGACCAAGTTTGCCTACAAAATACATGTTGAGACTTTTCAAAAGTCCCAAGCAATAATAAAACTACTTGAATAACAAATTTCTGATGAGTTTCGAACCCTCTCAAAATGTTGTCAACTCTGCACTAAAATTGATGATTTTGGGGGGTTCCAACTCACCTGGATCATTACACTGCACATGTCAGATGAATATAAAGTAGTCTAACCCCTGGATAATTATACAACTGACATCTCCAACCCACACACCCCCTGATGATACTCCTATCCTTTGATAACCTCGAAACACATAATGCATCAGGTAAGTCTGCCACCTGCCATGAGCTTCCCTCGCAGATGGAATCCATGACAGTGCTAAAGAAGAGACTAAAGTACTTGAAAATCATGTTGGGCAGAAGTACTGAGAAATGACTTACCTAGGCTTCCACCTGAGGTCCTCCTCATCACAGATGCCAGTTTTTAGCGTTCATAAAATCTTCCACTTCCTATCCTATTGCATTCCAGGTTAATTATTAGTAACCTTGATTGTCAAACCCATATTCCATTCATATTGTGAGCTGCATATAAACTTCATTCTTTCCTTCAGATATGCCTGAGGAAGAACTCATAGGCCCCAACACATCTGTCCATACCGTTACATCACAACACCAATCATTGATGCTATCCCTTGTGATCACCAGCTGAAAGAATATTTAGCCAGGGAACAAATGAAAGAAAAACAATTGCAATTATATATCACTTTTCATTACCTGAGGTCATTCCAGAGCACTTCAGTTGACTTAGTGTGCTTGAAGTGTTGCCATGGCGGTAAAGTAGACAAACCTGATGGTCACTTTGCAAACATTAGGGATCCATAAACTGCAATGAAATAAATGGGCTGATAGTCAGTTTTTGGTGATAGTGTTTGAAAAATAACTATTAACCATGACAACAGACAAAAGCTTTTAATGGCAGGAGTGTTGTGCCACCTTTTTACCCCAATCTGTGTGAGCAGTCCTGTCTGGTACTTAGACAAGCCACTTAAAACAGCTAAGCCTAGAATGTTTTTGTGTTCAGCTGAGTTCAAGTCAAGCATAACAAAAGTATACTGTTTAATCTGTTTGTGGGGAATGAAGGAGGAGGAAAATATTATGTGAATTTATGTATGTCTTTAGCTAACAAAATATTACTGTTGCGGTGTAGAATTTGATGATTGCAAGGGAGGTTTTTTTTGTTTGTCCCTATGGAAGTTTTTTTAACCACACAAATGCATTTGTCAGTAATGAATGTTTGTTTGATCTCACCAAAAAAACAGGCTTGTTTTCAAATATGATGAGAGAACTTTCCAGCATTGCTCATGCAAGTCCAAAGTGGATTGTTTTAGATGGAGATATTGACCCAATGTGGATAGAATCACTCAACACAGTAATGGATGATAACAAGGTTAGTGTTTTATGTGCAGTTAAATTGTCAAAATATGATGATCAATCACAAAAACAAAGTTTCTGGAAAAGCTCAGCAGGTCTGGCAGCATCTAGAAATTAACCTTACTGTATCAAAACAAAATATGAAACTGTGCAAAACTGATCATCATAACAAAAACCCAAAGAACTGTGGATGCTGTAAATCAGGAACAAAAATAAAGATTACAGATGCTGCCAGACCTACTGAACTTTTCCAGCAACTTTGTTTTTGTTCCTGATTTATAGCATCCACAGTTCTTTTGGTTTTTATTATGATGATCAATCAGTTTTGCACAGTTTCATATTTTGTTTTGATACAGTAAGTTTAATTTTTAGAGATTCCCAACATGGCATGGTGTTATTCATCAGTGTAAAACTGGTGTGGGTCCAAGCAGCCCAGATATTGGACCTTGAACCAGATCATAATGAAGCTGACACTGTGGGGGAAGTCAGCATTCTGTGATTAAGGCTTGGGCATGCTCCTAGAGTGGAGGCTATTCACTAATTGAAAAACACAGTACATAATCAAGTGACCTGGCATTGGCAAGGGGATCCCACTAAGGGATAACCGTCTACCCTTGCTGCTGACTCCCCACACAGAGCCCCTCTCCTCTTCACCCTGTATGTCTGGATCCATGCACAATCCTAGACCTTGGGTGGGTGTTGTACCAATAGCAACAATCAATGATCGGGGGCAGATCAATGGCTGACCTATCAAGTGTTTGAATGGGGTTTAACTCAATGGACCTTCCCTGAAAGGGATGACATGGGGGCTTCCACTAGCTATCCAACCAGTAGGTGAGACTGTCATAATCTCCATTAAATACCGCCAGTTGGGATTTTTCCATATTGTTTGACCACCTGTTTCAATTTCATAGACTTTTTTTCGAAGAGCAATTACCTCTATAATCCCTCATTTCGTTTGTTCATTTTTGGACTTTTTGTTTCAACGTCATTACTGTGAACTGTAGTGGGTTAGCTTAGAAGCTTTATTGTTTCAGGAAGAAATACTAACATACATGAAATCATCCACCAGTTTATCATGAATCAAATAATTTTGGATATTTCATAGTTATGGCAATTATTGATGTTGAGAGAAGTCCACCAAATCAAAACAACTTTGAGAAAAGAGGAGCTGGACATGGTAGAAATATAGTTTCTCAGTGCTTCTCTCATGGAAACAAATGAGAGAGAATTTCCCTATACTGAGAAAGAAAGAATGATGAGAAAACTACCAGATTTATATTGAAGGCAAAAAGATGTAAGCACAAATCACTTAGCTTGAAGTAATATGAACATAAGAAACCGGAGTTAGTATGGCTTCAAGGTGCCAAATACTATCATTCATTAAGGTCATGGCTGATGTGATTGTTACGTAGTGTAGCTTTCCACCTTCTTCACGCACATCCACACGCTCACCCCAAGCCCCTCTAAAGCCTTAACTTCCTTCACAGTCAAAACTGTACCAAACTCGTGCTTCAGTATGTACATTGACCCAGCTTTTACTGCATGCTGGGAAAGAGAATTCCAAATACTAACAAACAGCTGAGAGAATGAACCAAGATAGGCAAGGATGTGGCTGAATACTCCATCATTATAATCTAATTCAAGTACAAGTCGTGTTCATCATCTTTCTGTCATCTGTTATGAGGCCTGTGGTGATTGGTGAGTTACGTAGCAGCATGTGTGAATTGACTGGAAGTTGTGTTTGTGAAATATGCAAAAGTGACTGAGGTCATAGGGTAATTTTTCATTGGAAGGGAGCTGCATGGAATATGGCAGCTATCTGAGTCACCGAGAAGCCCTTTTACAGGATCACACTGCTCACCTTACTAGTATGAGGAATGGGCTAGAGAAGGTTTCCTAAACATTGTGTGCTTCATACCCCTGGCCAGCAGGACACTGCCAGAAGGGGTTCTGTCAATGTAGCCGTAAGTCAATCTCAAAAAGAAAAGTAAACGTGATACCAGTCATCATTGGCGCATGGATTATACACCTCCTCTCTTACAACATCACAACCTGCAGACCTGAGCAAAGAACCATTTTGATAAATAGCTAGCTAATTACCTTGTCCAGATTGAGACCCTCCATGAGTGAGGTTCGACTTAATCAGATCAAAAACAAGTGAAATATAGGACTCCATTGAGGAACTGCAAGATGGCATTATGCCTGTCCCTTCAGCTGAGTTGGCACTTGAAGGAAACAGACATCCCACCCCCTACAGTTTTACTGAAGAGGCATAGGTTGATGCAGAGGCACAAGGATCAGACAACTAAACCGATTGCATTTTCTTTTGAATATTTTGTGATGATTTGGTGGCTATGACCATTGCTGTTGAGAACATATTTTATGAGACTGAGCAGATTTGGTGCAATATTTTAGTATGGCCTAAGTAAACTGCTGAGAAGTCTTTGAGTATTCAAACACCTGTTGGGCTAGCCAAATCAGCTTGGGACCATTTCCCTTCCTTCCTTCTCTTTCTCCATCTCCTAATTCCTTTACTTAAGCAAAAAATATACTCATAGAATAGAATTCTGGAATGTTTACAACTCAGAAGCCATCTATTCAGCCCTTCAAAGCTGGATTTCTGCTAATGCTATTAAACTAGTTCACCACTCCATCCCCCACCCCATCCTTTCTTGTGCCTGTGAATTATACAATTCCCTTCTGAAAGCCACAATTGAATCTGCCTCCCCTGCTGCTTCAGGCAGTGCATTTCAAATTGGGCAGAAGAAAACAATTATTTAGAACATTCTCAGGCTGTAAGTTAGGACTCCGCCTTATCTGTCTAAACCTGCTTCAGTACCCCATGCTTATTTCAGTAGAATTTAGATCAAGCATTATTATTATCACTTCATTTTTTTGGCCCATTTGTGGGGTGTGAACAGGCCTGTGTCAATGCCAGAGAAGCAAGTGTTATCCCAGCTCTTGCTACCTCACCATGCCAAATTCCTTAAAATTGTTGATTGTTAGTATATGAGATTTAGGCAGTTTTAATCAATACTGTTGGAATTAAGCAACAAGTGACACAAACAGCCATTCAGCACGGAAACAGACCCTTTGGTCCAACCAGTTCGTGCCGAACATAATCCCAAAGTAAACTAGTCCCACCTGCCTGCTCCTGCCCAAATCTACAATGCCACAATTTTGCTGTTATCTGCAAACTTACTAACCAGCCTTCTACAGTCAGTTCTGCTATAGCATGTTTCTTCAACGTGATTTGATTTTAACGCGATTGAAGAATTTAGACTGCTATTTATAGAACGTGAATTTTCATAGCCTGTATTGGCTATTCCGCATTTCTGGCCCCATTAGTTTAAAAGGTGCGGCTATTGCACAATTTTCTTATAACTCAAGATCGCATGAGAACGGAACTGTTGCACTGTATCAGAACCGACTGTATATTCTCAACCAAATCGTTTGTATAAACGACAAACAAAAGAGGACCAAGAACTGATCCCTGTGGAACGCTGCTGGTCACAAGCCTCCAGTCCGAAAAGTAACCCTCCACCATTACTCTCCTGTATCCAATTGGCAAGCTCACCCTGAATCCCACGGGACCTAATTTCTCTAATTAATTAATCTACCAGATGGAACCTTGTCAAAGGCTTTCCTAAAATCCAAATAAACAATGTCTACTACTCTGCCATTATCAATCTTTTTGGCAACTTTCTCAAAAAACTCAATCAAGTTCATGAGACACTATTTTCCTCACATAAAACTATCCCTAATCAATTTTTGCCTCTCTAAATGTCCATAAATCCCATCTTTTATAATCACGCCCAACAATTTACCCACAACCGAAGTCGGACTCGCAGGTCAATAGTTCCCTGGTTTCTCCTTATAACCTTTCTTAAACAAAGGTACAACATTAACCACCCTCCAGTCATCAGGCACCGCACCCGTAGTTATAGATGATGCAAATATTTCTGCAAGGGGTTTCATAATTTCCTCCCTTATTTCCCACAATACTCTAGGATACATTAGAGCAGGTCCTGGAGGCTTATTCACCTTTCTATTCTCTAAGACCTCCTGAACTTCCTCTTCCGTAACGTGAACTGTTTTTAAAACATCAAAGTTTATTTCTCTGCAGTCTCTAGGCTCCATTTCTTTCCCCACAGTAAAAATAATGATGTAGATCTGTTACATATTTGCATGTCAAGTACTCAGATCTCTAACAATTTTTTTTCCCTACACTTAATAGGATTGGAAGTGAGACAGGAGAAGATGTCAGGGAGTTTTGGGGATTTGGAAAGTTGAAATTTGGCAATGAAGGAAGGCGGTAGGAATAAGAACAGCTGCAGCTGGGATAAAGGAAAGAATTGTACATGAAGAGTGGCTAAAACCTGAGAGGTTTGGGAGCGTTTCACCTGGTGGTGTTTGTGACCTTTTGGTATGGCAACAGTAGGAAATGGAATCATTTAGTGAAATTGTTTCAGAACTAGGAGAACATTTGCTTTGGTATCACTCACTCTGGGAGAAGAAGAAAGATTGATACTTTTATTGATTTATTTCTTCCTAAATCATCCCCAAGCGTGAAACTGGAATTTTGTAAAGGTAGAACTAGTTAGTTCCCTTCCTTGAAGACATTTGTGAATTAGTTGGATATTCATTGTCTGTTTAGAACTTGCCTGGTAATTTTTCTGTTCCGGCCAATATATCAGCAGATTATTGAATGAACCTTAACTGCTATCCTGTTATGATCCCACCACTGGCAATACCGTACAAGTAAGATCCCAGAATGAACACTGGCTTGATCCTGTATCTTTAGAACATAGAACATAGAACATTACAGCGCAGTACAGGCCCTTCGGCCCTCGATGTTGCGCCGACCTGTGAAACCAATCTGAAGCCCATCTAACCTAAACTATTCCATTATCATCCATATGTTTATCCAATGACCATTTAAATGCCCTTAAAGTGGGCGAGTCTACTATTTTTGCAGGCAGGGCATTCCACGCCCTTACTACTCTCTGAGTAAAGAACTTACCTCTGACATCTGTCCTATATCTATCACCCCTCAACTTAAAGCTATGACCCCTCGTGCTAGCCATCACCATCCAAGGAAAAAGGCTCCCACTGTCCACCCTATCTAATCCTCTGATGATCTTGTATGTCTCTATCAAGTCACCTCTTAACCTTCTTCTCTCTAACGAAAACAGCCTCAAAACCCTCAGCCTTTCCTCATAAGACCTTCCCTCCATACCAGGCAACATCCTGGTAAATCTCCTCTGCACCCTTTCCAATGCTTCCACATCCTTCCTATAATGCGGTGACCAGAACTGTACGCAATACTCCAAGTGCAGCCGCACCAGAGTTTTGTACAGTTGCAACATGACCTCATGGCTCCGAAACTCAATCCCTCTACCAATAAAACCTAACACACCGTATGCCTTCTTAACAACGCTATCAACCTGGGTGGCAACTTTCAGTGATCTATGCACATGGACACCGAGATCTCTCTGCTCATCCACACTACCAAGAATCTTACCATTAGCCCAGTACTCTATTCCTGTTACTCCTTCCAAAGTGAATCACCTCACACTTTTCCGCATTAAACTCCATTTGCCACCTCTCAGCCCAGCTCTGCAGCTTATCTACGTCCCTCTGTAACCTGCAACATCCTTCCGCACTATCTACAACTCCACTGACTTTGGTGTCATCCGCAAATTTACTAACCCATCTTTCTACGCCCTCATCCAGGTCATTTATAAAAATGACAAACAGCAGTGGCCCCAAAACAGATCCTTGAGGTACACGACTAGTAACTGAACTCCAGGATGAACATTTCCCATCAACCACCACCCTCTGTCTTCTTACAGCTAGCCAATTTCTGATCCAAACCGCTAAATCACCCTCAATCCCATGCCTCCATATTTTCTGCAATAGCCTACCATGGGGAACCTTATCAAATGCTTTACTGAAATCCATATACACCACATCAACCGCTTTACCCTCATCCACCTGTTTGGTCAATTCTTTAATTTTTTGCAGTTTGCTAACATTGTGGTTAGTCACTGAAACATTCACATGAGGCTGCAGAGGTTTTCTTTAAAAAAGAACAAATGTTTATTGCTTGCTAAAAATTGGGCTGTTAGCTTCTGATTGCATGGTGTATTAGCACTTGCTGACTGAGTAAAACTCCTTTTGATTGATTCAACTTCAGTTATTGTGTGTTTCATTGGTAACTTAGTAGATAAGTAATTTGTCATTTAAATATTTTTGCTATCCCTAGGTGCTGACTTTAGCTAGCAATGAACGTATCTCTTTATCACCTTCCATGCGGTTGCTGTTTGAAATCAGTCATCTTCATGCGGCGACTCCTGCAACAGTATCCAGGGCTGGTATAATATATGTCAATCCTCAGGATTTAGGATGGAGTCCGTAAGTTCCTAGTATATTTGTATCTCACTCTGACTACTCTTTGCTGTTTCATTTCTTTAAGATTACTTTTATATTTATATATGTCATCAATTTTGATTTCTTTAACAGATATGTCACTAGCTGGATTGACACTCGCAAAGCCCAGTCAGAACGAGCCAATCTTACTATACTATTTGACAAGTATGTTCCCCTTTGTCTGGAACAAGTGCGTTGTAATCTCAAAACCATTACTCGAGTTCCGGAGAACAGTATTGTGCAGGTACAAAGTAATATTTTTGAACTCAAGTGCAATGTATCAATGGAACTTTTAAAGGTTTCTTTTCGGAGTGATAATTTTTTTGATATGTAGGTGTTACCACGGTTAAACACAGGAAGAGTCCTTTAGATTTATTACACCTGAGTCACTCTCAATTTATACAACAGACCAACGCAGCAACCAGTACAACCTTTCACAATTTGCAGTACAAATACTTTACATTGTGCTAAACTCTTAAAATTTAGGTTGTTTTACAGAACTATTTTTTTTTGTAGACTTTATGTTCTCTACTAGACTGCCTATTAACTCCAGAAAATACTCCCCCAGACTCTCCACGTGATATCTATGAGATGTACTTTGTTTTTGCTTGTGTCTGGGCTTTTGGTGGAGCGTTATTCCAAGATCAAGTAAGTATTAATGCGTCATTTCTTTCCTTTAATTTTAAATTTTAATTTCTTAAAAACAATTAAAACCCCTGTATCTGGGGAACCCAGCTACATTAATGGGCTGCAGCATTGACCTTGTCATGCAAGAATGAAATGAGCTGGTGTGTTTTCTTTTTAATTCACTTGCGGGATGTGGGCGTACCTGGCTAGGCCAGCGTTAATTGCTCATCCCTCATTGCTTAGAGGGCAGCAGTTAAGAATTAACCACATTGCTGTGGGTCTGGAGTCACACGTAGGCTAGACTGGGTAAGGATGACAAATATACTTTCCCTAAGGGACGTTAGTGAATGAGGTGGGATTTTCCCAACAATCGGCAATCTTGCACAGATGACATTGGTCACAGTCCTGATGCATTTGTGGATACAAGACTGAGAGATCCCATATAATACAGAGAGGTCCATTGCTCCCTGGAAGGAGTCAATGGCATAGAATTTCAAAGTGACAGTCACCATCTCAGCTATCAGGAAAGGATAGCTTCCCTTCCTTGCAGCCCTTGGATCTACCTCTTGTATCTGATATAGTTGTGTGACAGTGTCCCTGGGCATTCAGAGCCTACATTGGCACTGTGCTTCATTCATCCCCAGGAAATAGAGTTGGGAGTGAAAATCTCTCATCTTCCAGCACACTTCATTCATCGTGAGGGGCCCTGTGGCATTGACCTCTTCCTAAGCTAGGTGCTCCATCACGCTGGTCTGCTGCTGCTCCTGGGCCTGCCATTGGTGCGGGTCATCCTGCATCTGTGTTCACCTCCTTAGGGTGGCAGCCACAGACACCAACATCCTACCGCCGATTGGCTAGAAACGGTATATGTTGAGAACATGAGGAGTGGAAGAAGTTCTTAGATCTCAGAAGTATCAATGGTGACAGACCTTGGAGATGATGGTTGTACACACTCCTCCATCCAGTGAGACACACAGTGTGCTGATAAAGAGAGCCGTATATCCATCATCCATCCAGTTTCAGCCTTAGAATGTGCATCAGCTGAATGACCAACACGTTACATCAAGTAAGGAGCGTCTCCTGCCTCCAACCCCATCCATTCTTGGAACCATGTCAATCATTCAAATTTTCATTACTGTCAGTGCAAACTGTCATTACACTTGCGCGACGAGATAGTGAAGTGCTGCTCTCCCACAGCACTCTTGGAAGTTGTACAAATAATGGGTCACCTTCGGACAGCATTCACCTCTTTTTAACTCAGTACTGCTAAATTCAGCAGCATTGAGATGCCAATGTTAAATTTTCAAGGTAATGCAAATTACCTTTGACTGGCATTTGAACCCTAAGCACGTTCACTCTGCATGTATTGTCAATGGGTGATGAAAGATTGCAAATTATAGGAAGCTGCAGTTTGTAAATGCCTGATTCACGGGTTGGCCCCTTACATGTCCTAGCTTCAGTAATGACAACAATTAAGCTATCATTGCTGTAAAAACCAATCTGATTTACTCATATCATTTAGGCATAAACCTGTATCCCTTTCTTGGTCTGGCCTACATGTGATTCAAGACCCACAACAATCTGGTTAACTGGCCTCTGAAGTGGCCTAGCAAGACACTCAATTATGGTCATATGAAATAGGAGCGGAAATAGGCCATTTCATCCTTCAAGCTTGCTCCACCATTCAATAAGATCATGGCTGATCTGTTTGTATTTCAAATTCCACACTCGTTTCTACCCCCATAACCCAAGATTTCTGAAGACAAGAGAATCAATCTACCTCTGCCTTAAAGATATCAATGGCCACTGCTTCCCCCACCTTCTGAGGTAGAGATTTCCAAAGTTGCACAAATCTCCAAAAGATAAAAAAAATTTGTCCTAAAAGAGCCTAATTTTACAACAGTGCCCCCTCACCCTGGAGTCACAAGAGGAAGCATTCTTTCCATGTCCCTTTGATCCCCTATCAGGATCTTACACACATCAACCAAGTCACTCCTCAATCTTCTAAGTTCCCATGGAAAAATGTTCGGCATGTCCAACCAATCTTCAAGACAATCTACACATTCCAGGTATCAATCTGGTAAACTTCCTTCCACATATTTACATCCCTAAATCCAGCAATGCCAACATCTCATAAATAAAGAGGAAATCTATTCATTTACCTAGTTTGTAAGCTATTTCAAAACTGCTCTAATTTATTTTTGACCTTTCTTCATGGGAAGTGAGTGTCACTGACGCTATCCCTATTTGCCCATGGGAAAGTTAGAGGTGAGTTTCTTCATGAACTCCTGCAGTTCACATTGTGAAGATACACAAAATCGCTGTTGAGGAAGAGAGTTCCAGGCTTTTGATCTAGAAACAGTGAAGAAACAATGATATATTTCCAAATTAAGATATTATGTGGCTTGGAGGGGAACTTGAAGGTAACCCTTGCTGCCTTTACCCTTAAAGTGGACTGCTTTGTCCTGGATAATATCAAGCATCTTGAGAGTGCTTGCAGATTTTTAAACCCAGGCAAATGGAGAATACTCTACACTACAATATAATAAAGCAAAGAACTGTGGATGCTGGAGATCTGAAACAAAAACAGAAATTTCTGGTGAAACTCAGCAGGTCTGGCAGCATCGGAGGGAAGAAAGCAGAGTTAACATTTTGGGTCCAATGACTCTTTATCTATGAGTTTCACTGTAAATTTCTGTATTTGTATTCTATAATACTCCTGACTTGTGCAATGTAGATGATGGACAGAATTTGGGTTACTTGCTACAGAGTTCTCAGTCTCTGACCTGTTCTTGTATCTATAGTAATTATGTCAGAAGTTCAGTGTTTGCTTTAGTTTCTGATAAATGGCAATCCCACATGGATGCTGGTGAGCAATCCAGCAATATTAATGCCATTAAATGTTAAGGAAAGATGTTTAGATCCTCTCTTCTTCGAGCTGGGCATTACCTGGTGTCTTTGTGACATAAGTGTTACCTACATTAATGTTTAGCTTTGCTGTTAATACTGTGTATGATTTAAGCATGAGGGTTATTGTGACCACATTCCTTTTGTAAAAGGACATTTAGAAATTGAATGGTTAACATCATAGATGTTTTATAAGATCTTAAAACCTAAATTGTTGAAGAAGTCCTTTAGATACATTACAACCGTGCCAGTCTAATTTCACACTATAGGAAAGAGAAGCATTAATTTATGTTGACATCCAATTGTCTTATCAGTTGTGTTGCCATTATACAATTGACTAAATTGTGGCTGTTTTGTTAAATAGCTAATTGATTACCGTGGGAAATTTAGTAGATGGTGGACCAAAGAAATGAGAGGCATCAAATTCCCGTCCCAAGGGACAGTCTTTGATTATTATATTGACTCTGACACCAAAAGGTTTACTCTGTGGACAGAAAAGATTCCAAAGTTTGAAATGGAACCCGATGCCCCTCTACAGGTATGTTTTATCAGAGCAAATTGACAGCAGGTTTGAAAACAAAAAGATATCTGCACAGTGCAAAATACCGATTTAGTTGTTTCAAACAGGAATTAAGTATTGTATAACTGGCTTTTAGTCAACTAAATGTCAGCTTATTACATGTTGCTTTTCTTTGAGGTAGGACATTGTACTTTGCTGTGCTAAATTCTGTTACATAAAAAGTCAAGGTTGATGGTGACTTGAATTGGCATTGATCTGGCCCTTTCGGATCCCAGTTGTACATTTAAATTTTAATGTTTCCATCATTTGTTCCTAAGTGTGAATTAACAGCCTTGATCTTTCTCTTAAGTTTCTTTTCTGAGAAAGGGCTCAAATTTAATTCAACACTGGAGATTTACTGCTTTTCTATATTCCACCAGGCAGAATCAATAATGTGACTGAAGTGAAGAAGATAAAAATTTATGGTATCTTGCAATTTAATGGTTGAAAAGATGCAATTTGAGAGATCATAAATTGTGAAGGAGTTTATGCTTCATTGCCTCTGATTCACTGCTTGCTGTTAGAACTTGATTTGTGACTGTCCATGATGTGTGATTAATGATGTGATCAATGCTTACCTCTGTGCAAGGCTTCATTGCTAATGCTCTTCATTAGAATAAATAAAAGACAGTGATTTTTAAAAAAACTTTGAAATATAAAATTGCAGTTCTTTCCATTACAGATTAGCTTTCTTAGGCACTGCCTTCAGAATGTCCACCCACATTGCACTGCCTGTTTTTTTTTAACTTTACAGAAACTTGCATTGCTTCAATTAGCCTTTATAATCACCATTATAGAGCAAGAGGAAAAAAATACTGGATTGACAAGATGCAGGCTGTATTGTTGATGATCCAACAACCATTGATTATATTTCATTGGACAAAAATAAATTAAATTGGAACTGTTTTCAAATGGTCAGATGGTGTAAATTACAAATATCTTAGAAAATTAAGATGTTTTGCTTAATCCAACGTTATTGACAGAAGTATTTCATTCTGAACCCAAATCTTTCTGTATAATGTTTAAACATCATCATATTCTATAAGTTAAACAAATGTAAAATTTACTAATTTTCATATTTAATATTTAAATCTGTCCCATATATTGCGCAAAGAATAATCGTCAAAAAGTATTTTATCACCATTGAAATTATTTTTGAGATTTTCCAGCATTTGTGTTTAATGTGCAACATTTTCCCCATGCCCACACTGCATGTTTCAGCTAATGTTCAGAAATAAAGCTACAAATTACAAATCACAGTCTTTTTATCCTTTTATTTCGATTTCTTAAAGAAGTATTAAAGCTCATTCACACATGCTTAAAATGGTAAGTGCATATCTTGCTTTACTAACACCTACAATAATCCTTCTTTATAAGAAGAATCTGATATACCACAGCCTCTAATGTAATTTTTTTTTAATGTTTCTTGCATACTTAAAAACCTCATAAAAGACCCTTTTACAACTTACTTGCCACTCAACCTATTGAGTACAAGTATTTTTAAAAACCAGTGTGTTTCCACAGTTCTTATTGAAAGCAATTTTGGGACATTGAGTGGAAAAATCAGCCTGCTAACACTTGTCTCTCAGTTTGTGGACTTGAGAGCCAATGAAAACTGGAAAGCATAATCTAAGCTGTCACTTCATTGCGGTACTGAGGAAAGGATGCATTGTCTGATGTGCCACCTTTTGTGCAAGACATTAAACAGAGATACTGTCAGCTTGTTCTAGGTAGATGCAAAAGATTCTGTCCCACAGTTTTAGAAAAGTAGTGAGTTTTCCTAGTATGCCAAGCCAAAAGTAATCAAATAATTAACTGGATTTTGGATAATTTACTGCAGAAAGGACTTTGTATGAAAATTGAATATTTTATTTGCTTATGGGTGTGTTTTCTCCAAAACATGGCAGTGCATAAAAATGCTTTTAAATGAGAGATTTCTTATTAGACATGAAATATATCCTATTGTAAGAACTTTTTTAATTGCTAGTATTTTATGGTAACAATATGAGACTGTTTCAGATGTTATTTTGTCTCCTGTAAATAGGATGTACTAGTTCACACTCAAGAAACTATCGGCCTAAAATATTTCATTGATTTACTTGTGAAAAAGGGAAAACCAGTGATGTTCGTTGGAAATGCAGGGGTAGGAAAGACTCTTCTTGTATCAAAAGAAGTTTCAAAGCTAACTGAAGATTATATTATAACTAAAGTTCCTTTCAACTACTATACAACATCTGCAATGCTCCAGAGTAAGTACTTTGGTCTTACACTTGTTTTAAAAATAATTTTATCAACTAATTATTGGAACAAAAATATATTTCATCTATATTAAATTATTGATTTGAATTCCTTTAATAGTGGTGGTAGAGCACAAGTTTATGATTAATTATTGCTAACTTCCCTATGCATTCTAGAATGAATTGACATTACTGTCTGGCTACAGTTCACACCCCGGAACAAGGCAGAGAAGCATGCAGGAGTTTTTGATATGCATGGTTTGATTATAGCCATTGTACATGAATGGGTGTCCATCTGGCAGGTTATTCACAGTATTTTGAACAGATCAATGAAACTGGTCATCTCATTCAATTTTAAAACTTTGTGGGGTAGTAATTCTTGACTGTCAGCTGTAGTTGAAGCAAAAATGTGGGTCAGACTTGAGAGTAGGACTGGAACAAAGCTCCTTTGTAGTCTTTTTGATAGACAGCTCTGTGATCAGGGAGGCTCCCAATTATAGCATTAAATTGACCTATCTATCTCCTCACTCAGTCATCACCGAGCAGAGGAGTTGGATAGTTCCATTCTATGATTGTATTGGGGTCACACAACAACTGAAGGACCATTTTTGGGAATCGAGCTCTGAAATAAAGTTCAGAGAAATCATTTATTTATCTTAAGTTTGTGTACTGAAGGAGAGCAAATTTTCTAAATCTATTTTCAAAGTTTTCTGCTTAATACTATTCATTCGTCTACTTTAAGTTACTTTATAATATGAGTCAGCTCTTGACAGACTGTATATTCAATTCACCAGCTGGTTATGAGGATTACCTGATGACTTAGGCTACAGTATATCATCTTCTTTAAGAATTCTCTGTTGATATTATTTCATAATAGTAATTAACTTGCAACATCCACAATTTGTGATGGAAATTTTTAATTTGCAAAGAAAGATTGTATAAATTGATTCCACTTCCATTTTGTCTTGCGCGTCTGTCCAAATCTTCACCATAGACATGGCTGGCAGAGCCAACTGTCAAGAATCATTACCTCACCATGTCAATCACCTACAAGGTTCTAAGTTTGAATGAGATGACAGGTTTATTACTGAACACTTCAAATAATCTATCCCAATTGATGTTCAATAACCATATCCTGACCATGAATATTAATAGCCTCCAGCACTGCACATGCCTTTGAACAAGGCGCTAATATTAAAACAGGTGATAATTCCTACCGGGTGTTAGAAGTCAATAATTGATAAAATGATCATAATACTGTTCTTAGTGTTACTAGCAAGTGAAATTCAAAATCAGGACTACAATTTTTTTGCATTTTTTACCTTGAATGGTAATATGCTTTGATTATTGTGTGACAGAGAATTATATTCATAGGAAATGATACCTTATTTACTGCTATGGCAGTTTTGCTGTACAAACTTGGATGGCCCTTCTATGACACATTATGCATGCCTTCAGAAAACAATGTTGTATCTAAGCTGATGACTTCATAATGAAGGGGCTTGCATGGTACAGATTTATTTCAGCTTTTTTACAAATATATTTCAGCTTTGATAAGAAGCAATATCATCATTGTGCATGAAGGTCACCTATTCTTCCTTTACTTTGGCTCGGCTCCATTCCTCTCATAATGGTTGAAACTGAGGACTAATTTGATATAGCTGTGCACAGCACAGAATAAGCATGTGTACAAATGCCAGCAGAGGAAGGACTTGTGCTCAAATCTCTAATTCATAGCTGGGAGATAGCAAGAACTGCAGACGCTGGAAACAGAGACAATACAGTGTGAAGCTGGAGGAACACAGTAGGCCAGGCAGCATCAGAGGAGCAGGAAAGTTGACGTTTCGGGTCAGGACCCTTCTTCA